AAAATTGATTTTCAAATAAATAGTAAATAATAAAATAAATAAATAAATAAATATTGATGGATCAAGATTTTTACAAAAAAGTAAAAAGTAATAAAGTTTATCATCTCTTAGTGCATTGTTTTTTATTTGTTGTCTTGTATATATATAATATATAATTAGGGCGTAGCGTAAAAAAAAAAAAAAATTTGAACCTTAAATTTTTTTGAAATTTTAATATGTACTAAAATACACATCGTGTTACGTGAAAAAAAAAAATTTTTTTTTGACAAACAAAAATAATAATAATGAATTCACTAGTTATAGTTAATAAAAAAGAAATTATTTTTCATTTCCCCATGTCAAAAATTATTCATTCATTCATTTAATATATTACAATACGGTATCAAGTAACAACCTAAACCATTTTCGCATTCACAACAATTCGAATCCATAGTTGTAATGAATAATTATTGTTCAGAAAATATTCTTCAAGGGAAAACGCCTCATTTTTCCAAATCTAACATTGATTACAATAAAAAACAATGGAAAAAATGTTCATTCGCTTTCTAAGATAAGGATATATTCAGAAATCATTAAAAGACGTACAAATCAAATTATTGATATTCATTGATATGCGGATTTCCCCCAATACGGCCGATATGCTTTTATCCTATAATAAGTTTTACCGAATGTACCGAGTGTCTCTCTAGGTGACTCTAATACTATAAACTGTACATTTTCATTTTTTCATCATATGCTGATTTAGCCAATATCAACAATCAAGTACAAAAGGACAATCAAATATATTTATTCAAACAACATTTACCGGAAGTAATCAATGAGCTGCGCCACTGCGCCACACAATTGTATCATATATTCATATGTTAATTCTGCAAATCGACCGATATATACAAGACCAATTTGAAGATTCATATGAAAATTCCTTGCAAAGAGAAAAAGTATTAATTAAATATATGTACCAATAATTGAAGTCAAGCAGCGCGCCTTTAAAATTGACAGGCTGTATACAGAAACAGCATAAAAAATGAATAATAAATATTTAATTAATAGTTTATAATAATAATGCTTTTTAGCCAAGGATAAACGTATTCTGTATATACTTATACATTCAATTTTTAGTTAATAAGGACATAGTAATAGTATCATTGCAAAGCGATTTCTTATTGATATTAAAATGAATATTTTTTTGCTCGATTTCTTTTTCGTATTAATATTCATTAACAATTTCTTATTTGTAAGTACTACAAAGTATTAATAATGTAATTCATTGTAAAAAAAGCTAACAATTTCTAACCATTGCATTGCATTATTCAATTAGCTAAATGAGAAGATATTCGTAATGTGGCGTAAAAGAAGAATTGTTACTAAAGTGAAAGTTTTAAAATAAAAAAAAAAATAAAAATAAAACCGTAATATAAAATTAAAATTAAAATATTTAAGGTTTTGTATTTATCTAACTATTCCATAAATAGTATGTTGGAGTAAAAGATGCGTGATTGGTTTTATATTTGAAAGCAACGTGCATATTTTGGGGCGCTGCCTTGTATCGATCAAGTTTTTAGAATGTAGTACAAACTTTTTTTATTTAAATTAAAATTATTATTATTTTTATTTTCTTTTTCTCTTCGCAATATATACTTTGGATTTTACTTTAATACTTTTTTCTTTCTACCATTTCTTTACTCACATAAAAAAAAAAAATAACTAATAAACAAATAACGAACTTAATGACTTGTCCAAGTTCAATTTCTTTTTTATTTTCTCGTAGTTTTTTTTAAAAAAAGGATATTTTTTTTTTTTACCTTTTTTAATAATAATTCTTTAGAATATTACTAATAAACAAACATGCAAAAAAACAATACGCACAGCTTTAGCGCCACAGAATATATATATATTTTTAACATTGTTTATAAAATCCATTGTGTTTAATTTAAAATTTAATTTAATTCGAATTATTCCAACCTATTGTTTTTAATACGATATCTGATCATAGACCCCACAAACCTGTCAAACTACTTATTATATATATACTGGTTAAAAAAAGATTATTAAGATTATTACATAAAAAAGAAAAAAAAATTTTTTTTAATGTAATAATTTTTTTTTTATGTATTAATAATTTTTTTTTTCTTATAATATATAATTTTTTATGTTAAAATATATTATAATTTTTTTATGTTATAATTTTTTTTATATTATAATTTTTTTAAATAAATATAAATAAAATAAATAAATATGTTATTATATTTTAACGAATTTAAAATGAAAATTAAAAAGGTATCAATAACAATGATATATTTTCAAATTGGATAAATAGCCGTCTTCTCGCCTGAACCAAACGCAATGTCAGTATAATTAGTTTTAAAAAAAATTGAAAGAAAAAAGAAAATCGTCATATAATAACCTTTTGACAACCAAAAAAAAAATTATAATTTTTTTCTTCTCTTTTTTTTTAGTACAAATCTTCATATTTTATTTAATCAAATCATTTCTTCTGCTATTTTGATAATGAATCACCAGTACCAAGATTTGACCGAAATTAACGAAGTTAATAATGATAATACAAAAATTACAATCAGCAATTTTGAAAATTCCTCTTCTTTGGATAATGCTACTTCGGCTCAATCTAACATGTCAAATTATTCTCGAGTTATTCGCGGACGTAGAAATAGAAGAGAACTAAGAAGAAAAACAAATGCTTTATATCCGTTTGTAAGAAGGTTACCTGTACAAGTTTCGAATAATCCACTCGTGAATGATTTTTTTAATGGGTCATCTTTTCACTAACTAATAAAATATTCGTTCGATACTTAATATTTCCTTCCGATATGTTATCCTAATATCATATACAGTCGACCCTCTATACAGTCACCCCCGTATAATCACAACATATAAAATTCCCCTTTATAAGCACACCATATTTTTGCCCAATGTACTAATAAATATATTAGAAAAACCTCCTCTATAGTCACAACATATGACTTTTTTTATAATCACCCTTTTTTTTCGGTCCCGAGGGGTGTGACTATAAAGGGGGCTGACTGTATCCCCAAACTAAATAGCAAAAAATTTTTAATTTTATTGACTTTATTATATCGGATTTATATCACGTGACTTTATTATTTACAACAAAAAATGAAACCGTGACAACAATAGTTTATCTGCTTACGTAAATTGCAAAAATTAATTTTCAGTTCTTAGAATAGAAATTTATAACATATTTTAACCTATATTCACAAATTTCCTCTTACAATAACCAATACCTTCATATTCCTCAATCTTCAGTATAACGTTAACAATAACAATATTAGCACGTATTCTACAGCTTTGAATCCCATAATATTAAATTATCCCCCTATTACAAATAAACTTCCATGGATTACATCGACAGTTTGCTAACATCAACAAGTCTAATCAATTCTCTTCCAACCACTCAACACCTGATATTTCTATATATATATATATATATACAGATTCTCTCAATGTCATCAATCATCAACATAAGTAAACTAAAAGTTATAAATTGTCTCACCTGAGTTGCAATTTATCACATATTTCAACCTTGAAACTGTCAGTCACACTCTGGTGACATCAACAACGATTGAGATGAAGCTCCCAGGAACAGAAGATCATCACTCACAAAAATGCTTCTTCTTCTGTTAATCAGAAAAAGTAAAAAACGAACATTTACCGCATTTAAATAAATATTAATTAATATCGACCGACGGATCGTAAACCTTTGGAGAATTTCGACCGTAATATTTCGTTAATCACAACAATAATCTCAGAACTTCAACACTTTCGATTTTCAATTGGAGGCAGAAACTCCGCTACCTATTCCTATTAATATATATTTTTTACTTCACGGTCTTATCGCCGAAGAACTTTTGACCTACGTTACGGGATTTATTCGTAAATTTAATATTCGACAACACCTCATCCTACAGCAGTCTCTTCGCAAAAGATATCACGCAAAATATATGGTTCTTTCATTATGTTCCAACATGGCATCACCAAACGATTAAAAAACGAAAACGTAAACGTTATCCAGTCATCACAACATACAATTAATACACCTTATGACAACGTTTATACAATGACCTTATGTTCGAAAAACCTCATCAAGACTCCACCGGGTAAAGTATTTAGTCCTTATTGGTGGATAAAGGGTACAACAATATATATCACTTTACTTTCTTATACCATGATTGAACATTTTGGGAGTTTTAAGGTGTCACAACGGGATTTTCTTTTCTATTAGTCAAAGATTTCTCTTTACGAATATGATAAGCAATAAGGCAATTAAAAGCATAATAAGGAAAACTTTTATATAAGTTTACAAATATAAGCTTAAATTAGGTTATAATTAATTATAAGTTGGATTATCACATTTTTAAGTTAATTTGTTCGAATGGAATATGAATAGATTATATAAAATAGAATTTGACAAAGTCAATAAAAATCAATGACGACAACTTTCATTAAAATATAAGACAAATTTTCAAATTTCATATGTACAGTATAAATCTATACTAATAGTAACAAATATGTAAAAAATTATGTTAATTATACTGAAAGTTAAATTCAATTAAAGTGACATTCAATCTGTCATGAATATTGTTTATATATCTATTAAAAAGTTATTTTAACTTCTTTAACGGTTCATATATTCTTGTTGTAACCAAGTAGGAAGTTGTATAAATGATAAGACGTATTAAGTGTCGCTACCTTAAGAAAATTTAACTGTTGCTTTTTGATAATTGACTGACACTTGATTAAATAATTCGAAAACGTGCGATAATTAAATCGTAATGACTCAATGATTTTGTTCATAGTGCTACTCGATGATGTCATGTCTGTCACGCTTTGATTTGACCAGATTTCAAGATCAGGTGTAACAACAAGATCAGGTGTAACAAATATTGTGAAAAATATTTTTATTAATTTAAAATAATCAATTTTATTTTTTTTGTCTGGATATATTTTTCCAACTAAAAAAATCATACGAAAAAATAAACAAAAATGATTATATTACAGCAATGGCCTTTGATCCGACCTAAATGAAAAAAAAATTAACAAAAAATGAATAGGAAAAGAATTATTATTAAAAAAGTGTTTACCATAAGACCGCAGCATAATGCCATAATCCGACCAATGATCTAGATTCAAGTCTTAAAAAACAAAAATAAATAATAATATATTTTATAATGATAATGGTAAAATATATAAATAAAGAAAAATTATATAGAAAAATATAATATAAAATATAAATATTAAATATTTGGTGTTTTAAAAAGAAAAAAAAATCAAAAAAAAAATTTGAAAAAAATTTTTTCAGTTTTAAAAAAAAATTTCGGTTTTAGAAAAGACCAAATTGAAATAGGAAGTTGAAAAAAAAAAATTTCAAGTCTGAAAAAGGAAAGTTTGAAAAAAATCGAAAAAAAAAAATTGGGATCAAATTTCATTAACTGGAATCGGGTTTACCAATACGAATGAACCAAGTATTTCCATTTATTCTCGTCATTTTTAAAATAACTGAACAGGTATTGAACTAGATTATAATCTTAGTGTAAGATCAAATAAATTATCATCACTGTTCATAAATTAATAATTATATGGGACGAGAAATCAATATTCTATGAAAAAAGGTTCGCCATTCATCACAAGTTAAGTATCAGTTTTTTATATTAGCAATTTTTCATTATTTGAATTCAAGAAATTCAAGAGAAGCTTTGTTTTTGATTTAGAAATTTTTGAGCTTAATAATGAATTTTAATGTCATCAGAATTTGAGAATATGTATAAAAAATTTTATATTATTTATTTGGTTTCACACATTTGGTATGTTTATATTTTGATAAATTATATTTAATAGTTGGATAAGTTACAAAAAAAAAGATTTATTTTTAAATTACAAACTAAATATTTACTACTCTAGTCTTAGTGTTTAAATAAAAAGAATTAAATAATGACCAATTTTTGTTGAATACATGTTATAAAATATTACTTAAACTTAAAAAAAGCTAAAAATTTTTTTTCACAAATAATTTGCCAATTTGTATCTAAATAATTAGTAAATAAACAAAATTAATTTCATATAAATAATTTACAAATTACTTCTTTTTTTTATGCAGCATATTACACACCTAATTATTTATTATACAATCATTCAAATCATCACTTATACCACTAGCTTGTGAATCTTCACTTTCAAGAATTCCATTCAATTTATCACTAGTAAAATTAAGCAATTGACTTGTATAAAATGCTTGTGGATGAGATTCAGTAGCATGATAATTATGCCCAATTTGTGCATCTATAAATTCCATAACATTGCATTTTAATTCTTCAGTAATATGTTTAATTTCACCTGGATAAGAAAGGAAAATCCATTCTTTAATAGTACTTTGCTGAAACCTCTGATTTAGCAACTTTAACGCTTCTAGCATGTGACCATCACGTGACTATATGGTCGATCGCTAGTGGCATTTTTTTCGTCAGTTTCTACCTCACTACTTTATATTTTCTACATGGAGGTAATATGAAACTTTATTTGTTTTTTAATTGTGAAAAATACGTTTTTAATTTTTGAAAATACAATTATTTTTATTTTTAAAAAACATGTAATTATAGATTCTGTCATTTCACTTCATATCTGTTATATAGAAGCGATAAGTTGTATACAAACCATAATAAGATGCTCGTTATTGGATATCGTACAATAGTTATTTTTTTTTAAAAAAAAAAA